TCAGGAGACCGGGGTTGAGCTCCCTCCACCTGCGGCTGCTTCCTTCACCGTGTTGGCAGTCTTGTTTTGAACCTTGACCTCCACTCCTGTGCCTAGTTTCATTATAATTTGTCCCAAGTAATTAGTAACATCTCACTCATTGCCACCAGTACTAACAGGGGCTTATAGTTTCCTCGGCAGTCCTGGGCCTGTGAAATCCCTGGTGTTTCACAAGTCCAGGGTTGTGCTCAGGCAGGTGCTGCAGGGGCTGTGCTGGGAGACGCCTGCCCTGCAGCCCCCGGTGCCCAGCCCAGGGCATCTGGGCCTTTCTGCAGTGCTGGATCCAGCCCCCCGGGCAGCCCGGCACCAGCTCCTGAGCCGGAGACTCGCAGTAATGGGGACACCTGGGGACCGGCAGCCCAGGGGCTCTGCACACACGGCCCCTCTGCACACATCGCTGGTCCCGCAGGGCTGCACGTCCCAGAGCTGCTGCCCTCGCTGACACACACGGCAGGGGCGCATCCAGGGGCGCAGTTGCCCCTCTTTGATTCCTGCTCCACCCAAACTTTAAAACCAGCTGCCTGTGACAGACAGCAATGTTTCTATTTGGGGGGTGCATCCACACGAGAGCCTTACTGTGCATGAGCCTAATAACGCTGCACAGTAGCAGGATGGTTAAAAACCGTGCTAATAGCCGACGGTGCAGCGTTATTAGGCTCATGCACAGGAAGCATCACAAAATAACTGTGCACCAGTGTGACTGCACAGTAACACTAGCTACTGTGCCTTTAGTTAGTACTTTATAAGCAAGTACTAAACTAAATGCCCAGGATCTAACAGGCATTAATGAATATGTAGATCTGCCGAGAGAGACTCAACCTACCGCATGGCCCATAATCATCGTCCTAACTCTTGTCAATTTTCCTCCCCTCCACGAGTGTTAATGATCCTGTCTCCTTTTTAATGGTCCCGAAGATCCACTTTTCAAACCATCCTTTCTTCTGCAGTGTCGCTGCCTGGTAGCCGCTCTCTTCTGTTTCACAGCCCTGCAGACTGAGTTTAGCTTTAGCTAAAAATCTCACTTTAGGTGTGGGCATCTTATTAACTTGGGTGTGGAAATGATTGACAGTGAAATATCGGAGGCACTGTCAAAATGCTCAAGAAGGCTAGATTTTGTTTCATGAAATTGAATAAATGATGTACATTTAACTAAACTCAGTGCAGGGCTATTGATGCAATGTCCTTTAACTATTTTTGGCTAGTTTATTGTGTTTTCTAAACTTGATATCTATTCTAGCACAGGGCTTGTCAACCAGGGGTACGCAAACCCCCCTGGGGTACTTGGAAAGGGGCTGGGGTGTATACACGGGAGGGCGGGGGCGGAGTGGTGTGTCTACCCCTGGGGTATGCAAGATATCTCTGGGGGTACATGGGGAAAATTATGTCATGGCAGATTTAATTTTCATTGCAATAACCCTTGCCAGTGAAGGGGTTAAACTATAAAATATGCTGATGGGGTACGTCGGCAGCTGGTCAATCTGGAAGGGGATACGCAATAAGAAAAAGTTTGGGAACCTCTGCCCTAACAGTAACACGTCGCATGTGGCTTCCAGTACTAACGGAGGGTTATAGTTTCCTCTGCAGTCCTGGGCCTGTGAGATCCCCTGGTGTTCACAGTCCAGGGCTGTGCTCTGGCACCTGCTCCGGGGGCTGTGCTGGGAGACGCCTGCGCTGCAGCCCCCGGTGCCCAGCCCAGGGCATCTGGGCCTTTCTGCAGCGCTGAATCCAGCCCGGGCAGCCCAGCACCAGCTCCCAAGTCGGAGAATCCTAAATAGGGGAACCTCTGCCCTAACGTATTGGTAAAGCCTCTTGCTTTGCTTCACCTGGAGGAAAAGGCATGTTGAAGACTGTGTGATGATGTGCCACAGTATCTGCATCTCTCTGCAAAATCCTGGATCCACCCGTGCACTTAGGATCCTGCTCCCAGCAGCACTGGCAGGAGCTGCCCCAGCTCCTAGGAAGTGAACGTCCCTGGGAATGGGGGTGAACGAGATGGGAAGGGAGAGCCAGGCTGGACGGGGCAGCAGGAGCAGGCAGTGGGAGGGAGGTGGCCAGCTCCAGCCTGGCCCAGGCCCCTTCTCTGTAGCCGGCCTGGCAGAGGCGCTGTCCTGTGACTACAGTGAGAAGCGGAGAGGAAAAGCCAGTCCGTCCCTTGCCTGGTGCCCCGTCCTTGCATTTCTGTCCCAGGCCAGCTGCACAATAACTTCCCACTTCACTGCGGACTCTCCCGTCGGACCAGGAGACAGGAGGGAAATGGTTGCAGTGGAGCCTGCGCAGGTACGTGATGCTCAGGGAGTGGCTGGGGCTTGGTCTGGCTGTGGGGAAGGGGCTGGAAATCCTGAAGGAGAAGGGAACGGGAAATAAAACCTACATGTTGCATTTTTTCCTCCTTACACCACAAAACCAGTTTGGAGAGACCAAAGGGGGTGTTGTGTTCCTGATAACAACTAATAATGCTTAGTGCATGTGTGTGTGATCAACACGTAATAAGGAACTAGAGTTTCGGGGGATGTATTTCACAACATGCGTCCCAGGTCACCCCGGGGCCACGTCTCTGTGACCACCCGTCCCTGACATGAAGTGTCATTCTTGTAGCAAGATGCCGTCTTGTGTCACATCCCTCCACCTGTTCATCCGTCGTGCTTCATCAGGGACCTGCGTTGGGACTGGCTGAACGGGAGAAGACATCTGCAGGTGTCTAAAGTCACATCCTGAGGAAGAGACAAGCATAGGCCGTCCCTGGAGCCTAAGCATCATTTCTGAGCAAAATCCGGCTCCGTATTGCACTGTCCCAGAGGTCTTTTGTGTCGGGAATGGAGAGATCTTGGCTAAAGCAAATGTGCTGCTTTCACTGAGACACTCCTGGTTTGAAAAACCTGGACTGTCTCAGCACGTAACATGACTTAAATATTGGGATCTTGTCCCAGCTTAAAGGTTTGTCTCAGGAAAAGACATACAGTCATACCGTGGCTGCCCCATAGGACATGTCACTGGGGCTGCACTGTCCTACTTGAGGTTGCCATGATTTCAGTGACTCCTGGGCCCTTCCCAGGGTCTCCTTGGAGTCCACTCTTTTCTACCACGTGGGTGAAAGGAAGGGGCAAGCCATAGGGATGTTACAAGTGTCTGAAGGGAAGAAGGACAAGTCCTGCGCTAGGGACTGCGACCGCGTGACACTTCCCAGTCCCTCAGCTGAACAGTGTGCTACTCCGGGTAAAATCGCCCTGCTCCGAAGCTCTGACTGGTGGGACTGTAATATGCTGGGAGTTCAGCATCAACCCTCTGCACACTCCTGCATTGAACTACACTTATTTATTATTATAACCCTCTGAAATCACATCCATGTGGATCTTAACCACTGCCCTCGGTACA